CGAAGGGTGGATTGCACTGACTTACTGGGTACAGCAGGCCAGGCTGCGTGCTTCATGGGTGATGCGGATGTCTGTCTTAACATCGTCTGCACCCCAGACACCTCATTGTCCTGGCTTGATCGAGCAGCGAACGAAATATGCGATAGTCATCCAGAGCGCGAGGGGAACATGATCTTCTACGCCGATTGTGCATGTCGTAATGGCCGCCTTCGTGGGAGCCCTCAATCTACCGTGGCATCCAATGGTGAAAGTGCTGCCTCTTCTACAGCAGCTGATATTGGGAAATTCACTGCTGGTACATGGCGTAAGCGCTTCCGAAAAGTGTCTCTAGATGGACTCCATTTGTTGGTGAGACTATTGCGACCGGTAAACGCACAACATCCCAGGAGACGACAGCTGATCAGGGACCTAGCAGCAGCACTCTATCAAGCGCATCCTGAGGATCTTGCGCGTGCCTTTGAGGTAAAAAAAGTTGCAGGATTGGATTGCGTTCTCACCAAGTCAGAGAGGTCTCGCTTTGTCCGCACCATCATTGTGGGGGGCGAGGAAACTGCTGAGAGGATCAAGCGCGTTGTGCTGATTCAGCACTGCTGAAGCATAAGAGAAATGATGAGGCGGCACTAGAAGGTTTGAAGCGCGCTGGTGATCCCGTCGAAAGGCTCAATCCCGCAGATATAGGAATTCTATATCCGAATAATATATACGCGCGCTCGACCCTGCAGCCACGGGCTTAGTAGGCATGCGCTGACGCGCAGGCACTGCCGACCCGCCAAGCCCCCCTCAGTGAGGGGTCCTCACCCAAGGCCACACCTTGATGATTCAACCAATGTGTATCATCCCAGTCACTAACAACCTGTCAGTGACAATCTGTAACCATTGCTGCACATGAAAATCCCTGGGAGGCGCATAGGGATCACTCACGCTTCTCACCTCAGCAGATGGTCGCATCCGGAGAATTAGCGCTTTGGTTGCGTATCCAAGCATGCCACCGCAAGATGAAAAAACGCAGCCAGTGCATCAAAATTATGGAATACTCCTGTACACATTTCCGAGCAAATATCAGTGATATTATATCACCCCTTACAACTTTATGGACCAACTTGTCCGCTTGGCCCACACCAATGGGACCAAAACCAGCATGATCAAGCTCATTACTCCACATCAGAAAGAAAGTTTCTCCAAACCGCACGCGCAACTCGAAGCAGCAGATTCAGTCAGGGTACTTGTGATGTTCAAGAAAGGCAGCTTTCTGTTCACAGGCATGGGAGGGAAAATTCTTGCAAAGGATTCATCGACAGCATCATTCAGAGTGCAATTCCTTGCGCTTCTCCTCGCGTCTATGTCGATCTCGTAATTGCTCCTTCGTTCGATGCGGTGCAAACCTACGATAAAGTCGACCACTCCACACAATATCATGGGCGGATGCTTAAATTCACGAGAAGGTTCCCAAGGTCCTACTTCAACTCAGGATCCGCGAGCATCAACTGCCACCGATTCCGATATCCTGCATACTTTTTCATCCCTCGCTCCAAAGATACTTGTTCCTCCTCCTGAACACCATATTCAGACTCGTTCTCTGATGATTGGGGCATTATCTTCCTGCCTACCGTCCATTTGATCTGATGTTGAGGTGTTGCCATCCAGTCAGGCATGTTTCTGAGCTCTCCCGGTGTAGCGTCTGCCTCCCGCGATGCTGTCTGAAGACGACGTCTCGATAGATCAATCGTATATGAGCCTACCCCGCGCTCATCACAAGGCCCGTGATCTCGACCAGGGGCGCCTGAGAAATCAGATATCGAACTCAGCAAGGCCAACGAGAGACAGCGGATCGTTATGTATGAAATGACCGATCCGAGCGAGCATAACTACAGCATGAGGCTCATAATGATGAGGATGCAAGCTCTCAAATCCGCATTAACACTTGTATGATGCATGTCGCATAGTCCAGGGCCAACCTCCCTTCACTCACTCACCTCGAGCAGCTGCCTCTGGTTCTCTTAATCGAGCAGCTTCATGGTTAGATTCTCTCGGAGCGGGAGAAGTAAGTCTGCTGTGGTGTCTCTGATCATCACTATCGTCTGTCTCTTCCGTGCCCTCTCCTTCCCCCGCTGTTTCCTCCTCATCATCATCACTATCGAAGGAAGCAGACACCTTGCGACCAGTACTGGGCCCATGAAGCAAGGGGTGCCTTCGATGGATACTACAAAAACAGGAGTATGACACAACACATCTCGCAATCGCAGGACTAGCCGCTACTCTCGATATGCGTCAGACGCCTGGCTAGTTTCTTGCCCCTGTTCTGCTCGTGCCACCGCTCGTTTCCTTCTCCTCTTAGCTTGTTCCTTCTCTCTGTGGGTCAGCGTGACAAAATGCAAGCGAAGGATCTACTCACCTCATGCCGGTATTCACAAGAGCAAGGTCATAGAGAAGATCCTCCACTATTTGTGTTCGCTGCCGCCGATCCCCACCAGTATCATATCGATCGTGCATGACGGTGAAGCCTTGAGAAATCTGCAGGGACTCTGTCAGTCTTGCAAGCAAGCGATCAAGCACCCTCCAAGTTTACCGAAGCGACAAGGCTCATTAGACTGACTGTGTAATTCGATTAATAGCACATCATAGTGGAACGAGACCATCACAGATAGGAAAACAGTTTCGAACAGAAGAGGCAACGAACGAAAGTGTGGTACTTTTCGAGCCGCGTTCACAAACTTTGTGACACAAAGGACTTACATATTCGAACACCCGATTTTGCCGAGATGACCAACAACCATCCTTCAAGTGATCGGCGAAGGTTTTGTAGATCTCGAGTAAGAATGAATGTGGGTTGTCCACGTATAGGGTGGCCACAAGTATGAGAGAGTCCCAGGCCTGGTCCAGAGCTGTGGGGCTCTCGCTCATGTGATATGAAGTACAACAAGGCCTCTAGTAGCCAGCAGTACGTCCCCCATCAACCCATCACACAACAACTTGTACTGATTATGAAGCGAAATGTCTACATGAAACAGAGCGCCGAAAGCTGCGAGTGATATGGCACTATCACCTCGTGAACCAGCTGGTATACCTCGTTATCAGTTAGTGAAATCCGTTGGGCGCGATGACCTTGCGGTGTACGAACTGGAAATGTCCCGGGATAGCTGTATTTGTAGTCCATTCTATCATGGGGGGATGGAGACCAGCACGCCGATATGTGAGCGCCTGAATATTCCCCGTCGTTGGAGTAGATATTGAGCCCAATAGTAATGATCATTATACAATTTGGGGTGTCAACGTGGGTGTAACTGCCGGAGATCTCAAAGCGTAGACCGGAAGAAGCTTGGTCACCAGCCAGTCT